AGACAATAACACTAATTGTCCCATACAAGCTATGAAGATGATGTCACAGCCACGTGGAGAGAATTTTTTCAGCTGGAACAAGTGATATGATGACAGGTTTGCAGTTTCTTCCCCAACAAACCACAATCATGCAAATAACATCTTACTGCTGAGATACCTATTTATGTAAGCACATGCTAATCACTTAGACATAAGGCATTCAAAAGGTATTATTAGGGCATGATAAGGCTTATTAAGGCATAACACAGCATTCTAAAGACACCACAACCTCCAGCAGTGTAGCTAAGAAACGAAACTGCAGCATCAGTGTCTTCAATGTGAAAATCTAAAGACAAGAGAATTCTGCATATGTAGTAAAAGCAGAACTGACAGTCAAATCTATTTTCTTGCCACCCTACCCTCAAACAGGGTATTTATCTCTAAAAACACCACTTTAGGTCTGCCACCTGACAGCATCAACACCAGACACAGAGCATCAAATGCATGAGTTCAGCCTCACTTTGCAACAGAATGCTTAAGAAATGTGACTCTTCCCCCAAAGAGGCCAAGGTCTCACCACTTCATGAGTGATCTCAGTTCTCCTCACATGCATGCTGAGCTTTCAACTAGCCTCCCCTTTAAGCAGGGTAGGAAGTGACAAGGTTGGCACTTTAATAAACTTGCAAAGCAACAGATCCTTCCCAACAACTCCGAAGCAAAGGGAATTCTGAATTTGGATCACAAGGCTATCACAGCACATGAGGAATGTGCATGCCTCTCCTGCAGACAGGCACAGCAAACAGTTGTTTTCAGCAATAGCAGCTCTCCACCCTGTTGATTCCTCTGTGGATTTGTAGTAGTATTTAATATATTCTGATACCTTCTCATCTTAACCCTTCTGCTCTTCCAAGACAGGACCAGGGAAGTGATTCTGCCCCTGGACTCGGCACTGGTGAGGCCACACCTTGAGTACTGTGCTCAGTTCTGGGCCCCTCAGTTCAGGAGGGACATTGAGGTGCTGGAGCAGGTCCAGAGAAGAGCAACGAGGCTGGTGAAGGGACTCGAGCACAAGTGCCATGAGGAGAGGCTGAGGGAGCTGGGGGTGTTCAGCCTGGAGAAGAGGAGGCTCAGGGGAGACCTTATCACCCTCTACAACTCCCTGACAGGAGGTTGGAGTCAGGTGGGGGTTGGTCTCTTCTCCCAGGCAACCAGCAGGAGGACAAGAGGGCACAGACTCAAGCTCTGCCAGGGGAGGTTTAGGTTGGATATTAGGAAGAGACTTTTTATGGAGAGAATTATCAGGCATTGGAATGTGCTGCCCAGGGAGGTGGTGGATTCACCATCCCTGGAGGTTTTCAAGACGAGACTGGATGTGGCACTTAGTGCCATGGTCCAGTAACCAGGGTAGGGTTGGACTTGGTTATCTTGGATATCTTTTCCAACTCGGTTGATTCTATGATTTCCAGGTTTTGTGCCAGCTTTCCACAGGCCACAGTTTACAGTTTAAGACATCTAGACATGGAGCATGAATAACATTCATGCTCCAGAGGCATAATCTCATCATAAACATTTGTCCAAATGAACTCAGTAGCATTGCTCCAATAGTGTACTGCATAATCCTGCCCTTGCCAAAGGGAAATTTGATATTTTACATGGAAGCAAGCAGCAGTATTACTGTGAAATGCACATTTTACATGGATCATCCATTTCTCTCACTTTGAACAACAAGATGCCCGAAGAGATTCAAAAGAATAAATCAGGTCTTGACAGCCTGGATAATAGGAAGAATTTCTTTACAGAAGGTGATTAGATATTGGAATGTGCTGCCCAGGGAGGTAGTGGAGTCACAGTCCCTGGAGGTGTTTTAAGGCAAGACTGGATGTGGCACTCAGTGCCATGGTCTAGTTGACATGGTGGTGTTAGGTCAAAGGTTGGACTTGATGATCTCAGAAGTCTTTTCCAACCTAATTGATTCTGTGATTCTGTAATATAACAGGCAGCTAGAAATAAAAATCAAATTACTTTTCTTCTCCACCTTTAAGCAGGAGCACCTCAGTGCAGTCAGACCACCCAAGACTACATGTTTTCTGTGAGGTTACGCCAAGGTACAAACTGGTTTGTTTCTTTTTATTGCCCTCACTGCTTTGTAACCTATTTGTCACCTCAGAGCTGGTTTTAGATGTACTAGGCAAGAAGCTATTGGCTGAAAAGAAACCCGTAATTTGTCTCTGAAGTCTCCTTATGTATGTTAGTTCTGTTCCCAAATTCTCTATCAGCCTTGTTTGTACATAGAGTCCCACCAGAAGTTTGCTCATTAGCTGACTCTCTGTTTGGTCCTGCCACACCACTCCATTCCTCTCAGCCTTCAACACACCTGTAACTGTCCCACCTCTTCCAGGTGCTCCTCGCTTCAACCTAACTCCCCATGGAGGAAACCTCTATCCCAGATGCTCAGTATTCATTGTCCTGTTTCATATCTCACCCCAAAGACTGACCATTTCCAACACCTCAACTGTTGCCTCTGAAATCTTGTTCTTCCCTCCTCTAACAGAAGCTGATGGCACTGCCATTGCAACTTGAATACTTTCTCCAATAGTGAAAAGTAAATAATTAGGGTAAAGGGAAGAGGTTGGAGTTGGAAGATGCACTTAATTCAAAGATATAATTAAAAATGTGTCTGATTTTACAGGATTTTAGCCAATTTCACAGAAGGAGCTACACAGACACTCGGGAGACACTGCCTCCTTCTTTTCATGCTGCACATTTGAAGCCAAATGCTTCACATTACAGGGACAGTAACAAACCCTTCCCCTGGGATGGCAAACAGCTGCCTGCTGGAATATCTGGTAACTCCTAGCCTATCACAGCCAAAAATCTCATATCTCAGGCAACAAGAATTTCAAGGATGTTGCTCCTTGCCCTCAGCACCACAGAATACTCACACTGATGTGTTGAGCCATATGAAAATAGAAAGATACCTATTTGGAAAGATACTTTACCCTTTAGGTCTCCAGTCAGTACTACATAGGAACAGCAAATGAAAACATATAGTAGGTATTGTTTTGTAAGAGATCACAAAGGAAAATGTCAAAGCAAAGGGATGAAGTGGGGATAAGTATCTTCAGAGTCCACTATCATTTTTCCAGACTACTGAAAAAATAGTATTGAAGGATACGTGTGTGTCTTGATTAATTTCATTGCAATCTGGGCAGGAAAGAACAGACGTTAGTGTCTTCATGAAATGGGCTTTGATTAGAACTGGAGTTAACTCTGTAGTTCTTAATATTTATGCCTCTTGCCTGCTCAACAAGTATTTCTCACGATCAGGAAAGAAGTTGAGTGCTGACAAGTACCAGGAAGTTTCATGTCCTTTCTTCCTCCTTACAGGTCATATACATATGTAAGTCAGCAACATCAGCTACAGCCTGCAGCCATAAGCATCAGCAGTGCTGATCAGCCATCTATTTTGTGGTAATGAAATAATCAAATCATTCCCATGCATCATTTAATCACAGGTGGAATAAGCCTACTCTTCTGGATAGTTCAGTGAAGTCACAAAACTTTGTAACTTGTGGCTTCACAACCACATAGCTGCAGGTTAAAAATAATGTTGTCAGAAGAGTGTTGAATGCTCTCTGTTGGCATCCCAAACCAGGCATGGAAGAACTAAACATGTCACTGGAAGAGATGTTTTCTCCCCTCCCACCTTGCTTCCACTGAACCACAGAGTATAGGTTAGTTTTGTGCGGAGAGCTGGACTTCAGAGGAATCAGGAAAAGGATTTAAACATGAATGAGGCTGCCTCCAAGTCCCTGTAAAAGGAAGTGGAAGACCCAATGAAACCACAGCTGACAGATCTGTACACATTATCTGAGAACTTGGCTTTGTGTCTCAGTTTCATTCAGGAATGCACATGCTTGAAGTGAAGCTCAATCCAGCACTTCAAAATCAGTCACAGTTTGACTTCTCAAGTGATTACCTCACATTCCTAGAAGGTTCTCTTAGTGTTGGGTGAGAACAAAGTATATAATCAATGAAACAGCTTGGGTTTTAGCTAGATTCATCAGAGGACTCTGGACAAGGTCAGTGAACCACAGCATTATAATGCAGCTGCGCAGAGGACTTAAGAACAGACAACTACAGAATTAACATGATTTAAATGCAATTTTTTAATCCCAATTAAAAGTGCATCATAAAGAGCTTTTAGCAGAGATTCAGAAGTTTTACAACAAAGGTAAAGACTCCAGTACCAAAACTTAGGAAGAAATACTTTTATTTTCTTAGCTACTGTTCAGAAAGCCCTGAGGAAACTGATCCCCAAAATCCCTAAGAGCTCTGCAGCAAAGAAGCTGAACAAGCACTCTGTGCAGACAACTCCCAGTAGTACTTGGTAGAAAACGAGGCACAACACACCTAGGCAGCTTGCTCAGGTCACACCTTCTCAACACCACACGAATGCCATGTATTCTTCCCTTTTGGCAGCAACTACAAGGAGAGACACAATTCCCCCTGGCAAGCATCCTGCTACTGAACAGGTAACAGTTTTTGCTTAGCATGTAAGGTCAAGACTTATCAGTTGTTCATCAGAAGTCACAAAAACATTGTGTCACTGCTGGAAAACGGGAACAGCATTGCTAGTAAGGCTTCAAACACAGCAGCCATAAATCCCTCAGTCACTCAGCATACAGAGTTACAAATGAACAAAGCTACTAGCTTTTTTTTTTTTTAGGTTTTTTAACAAAAAACAAGCTCAACAAACTTTTAATTCAAATACATTTATAATAAGTAAACATTTCAAAATCGAAACTGGAGGGAGTGGACCGAAACATAC